CCTGACAGCCAAGGAAACAAATAGAAAATTCTGCACTCGATCTTAGCCAAAAGGCCAAGAAGCAATACAAATAGATAATTTTGGAGCCTAGAAGAGTAGAACATTTTGTAAGGCTCCTGACCCTGTCCCCAGAACCCACATGGGAGATGAAGAAAAATGTTGAAAAGTGTCATCATTTCTGTAGCAAGACCACAAAACTAAACTACAATGAAGCTCAGTTTCAGAAAAAATGCACTGCTTTGTTCTTACTCTTGAGATTCCACTTGAGCTCCCAAAATGTTGTAAATGTCCAATCACACTTAAACCATATTTTAATCCAATAATTCAAAGGGTCTCTGTATCTATCAGGGTTTTAATGCATAAAATAGAACCCATTCTAGGTATGTTAAGCAGAAATCAGATACTTACAAAATTCCCAGTCTGGCTGGGACTGGGTGTCCGCAAGGCTCCCCTTGGTGTCATTGAATCCAACAGCACACCACCTAGCTACAACCCAGAGACTGAGACAGTGGCTACCACCACCACTGCTGATCCTGCCGCCCCTACCACTAACACAACTGCCTCTTCGCACCCACAAAGCTGCTGTACCCAAATTGCCCTGCCGCTGCCGTGATTGCCTCTTAACATGATGTCTCTGTTTTAGACATACCAGCAGGAAAATGATCTCTACCTCTCTTCTAGCAGCCAAAATATGTGTGGGTGAGTGCACCCCATCCTGGCTGTGAAGGAGATGAGAGATGTTGTTGTAAGCTTTTCAGTCTCTGCTTTCCAGGAACACACCAATGAAGGGGGAACTGAATGGAGGTTGAGCAAGTCAATCTACAGTATCCACCACAGGTCCATTGCAACTCTACAACGCAATAGCCATGTTCCTCGTGATCTACCCCTTCGGTGACTCAATCAGTACCCCTTAGGATTACCCTCTCAATTTTATTTAGCCTAAGGCAACATTGAGTCTGGATTCAGTCAACAATCTGGCAAACTACTGCTTGAGCTAGCACACTGAATCCAGAAACCTGTATTGATGAACTTTGCCCAATCCAAGTTATAGTCTCTCCTCCTGGTCTAGCACGCTCAGAAATTGCTCCTGCACAATTTCCTTGGGTTTCTGCTTATCTAAAAGAGCAAAATCTTTTGGTATGTCAATCTTCACTTTCTAAGTCCAACTTGTCCTTGGCTTCTGGGATGTGCTTATAATAGGCTGGGGGTCAAAGAAGAATGCTCAAAGTGTGGGGCCTGGAGAGACTTCACAAGTTATTCACCTCAAGTAAAGTAACTTGCATGTCTCCCACAAACTACAGCCAACCTCATGGGACAGGGGAAGGGAGCTGCTTCTGCTGACAGGAGAGGTTGCATGGGCTAAGGATTTAGAGTAGTCAAATTCAACTCAACACATTCAAATGTCCCATCACAGTTCACAGGGTCTCCTTCCAAACCAGGGTCCTAAGGCTCACTTAAAAGAGATAACTACACATGAATTAGGCTTATACTGTAAACTTGGTAACCCATTGGGTCAGATTCTATCTGATTTGAGGTTACATCAACTCTGAGACCACAAGATATAAAAGATTATCTTAGAGTGGTCATGGAAGCTCCCTGGTTCTCTGAACTTCTTCGAACTGATAATGTTAAACCCCGGGCATATCATTTCCTTGCTTTAATCTCTCCAGGACATCTCCATAGCTATCTTATTCCATAACCCTTGAAATTCCTCATTTTCATTCTAATGATTTATCATAACAACCACTTTGCCAGAGTGTAGCCTTCTAAGAGGTGTGTCATAAGGAAGCCATAAATGATCATTTAAGGAACTCCTTTGTCACAGTGTGCTATAACCTTTGAGCGTCCTATTTTCTGATAGTAACAGTATTGCCATTATCTTCAAAACCAACCAGATCAGATCATCAATCCAATGTTTCCATCCTTGAGAGTCTTTATCCACAATCTCTTCTGGGAGAAGGAAACAGAAACCACTCCAGATTGGGTTCTGGAGGGGAGCCCTTAAGAAAAAAGAGATTTCATGCAAAGAAGAAGGTGTTTATAGAATCACTGTAAAGGCTATAGAAGCAGGAGTCAAGAGTGAGGACAAATCACCACCATGCAAGCTCAAGATCGAGAAGCATCTGCTACTGTTGCCACTGGTCACTAGTACTGCTAATCATCTCTTTACCTGTGAAACTGAACCGTGAGGCAGGCTACAGTAACTGCCCCAACTCGCGCTAGAGACCCACAAGACAGGTATCTACAAACGTCCAGTCTCACTTGCATGCATCCGAATGGTAGAAACATATCTATAACAAGAACCCTAGCTGCTTGAGGTCTGGAAAACATAGATTTGAGTTACCAACTTCTAAAGAACACAAAAGCATTCTAAACCCAGTATAGAACAGTGGAGGAGCAAACTGCACAAAATCCACCATGGTTTCAATAACTTGTAGTCTCTGGCTGTACAAGCTCAGGCTCTCCAGTTTCCTCCCCTTCTTCCTGTTTCTGTGCTCGAGAAGTCATCCTCATGATGTCAGAGGCTGGGGAGGCACCTTGAACTGGTTCCTGGGTATTCGATGGCTGGTATTTGCTATTTCTAGGATGTTGCTCCTAGCCACCTAGCTACTGGTGCCCAGCTGGGGTTTCCTGCTGAATGGCTTTAACCTCAGGTAATACTGGCCAGCGCGGGGCCCCCAGACGACTCTATTTGTGCCATGGCACAGCCTGGTGACATCGGCCCCAAACACCATCAAGGTTCTGGAACTGGAGTGTGCGCCCTGTGGTGACAATGGCCCAGAGCTGTGCACTGTGGAGTTTGTGGACAGGCCAGTTACCAGTGCCACCCTGACCCCCGGTCATTCCCCTCCAGACCTGCCTAATCAACACTGGGGACTGGACTATGTCTGATGGCTAACCACTTTGATCCTTTGGAGTTTCAGCCTTACACATATCTCACATATCCTCCCGGGTAATGCCAACATTCACTGGAAAGTTCGATTGGAAAATAGATTTAGCATGTGCATTTTCTCCAGAGGTTTCCGGGCAGCCTCGTGGTGCCCAACCCTCCACCGGCGAGGGCCGCCGTGAATGTGTGATGAGCGTGGTGGCACAGGAAGGCACGATGCGTCTGCCCGGTTGGAATGAAAGCTTTAAAGGTGTTCCTGATTTTTATTCTGAAGGAATCATGTTGTCTTTTTGTGAAATAAAATTTGTATTCAAATGAAAAATAAAAATAACGGTTTTACCAACACGGTTGGTAAACTTGAGGGCCATCAATCACTTATCTCCCTCTGAACTGAGGTCTCATTCTATTACTTTGCTACCTTTATTTTGAAGTCTTCTTTAACAGACAAGTTTTAAAACTAATGAAGCGTGCTAAAAGAAGTAGAATATTTCAAATACAATGCTTAAATAATCTCTTCTTTTCATGGGATTTCTTTAGAAAAGGAAGTCAATTTTACAAGTATAAATAGCATTTATGTTACTATACCTTTCCTTTTCCAAAGATGATCTTCATGGAGGAGTTAATGAGTGTGGAAAAATAAGAAAATAACCTGGAGAAGGGGGAAAATCATACGAATTATATTTCTTCAGATATGAGCATATTCCCAGAAATTTAACCTTTCAGTTTCAGGCAGTTTGATAGATTGTGGGGACCATTCACCAATCCAGAGAATTTAGGAGGAGTAACAAGATTATATGGAAAAATATAATGAATTGCATCTTAGAAATGTTGAATTTGAGATGCCTGTGGTAAACCGAGGAACCATGGATATGATCAAGACCATGTCACCAAATCTACGCAACTGTACAAAGTTGTAATATCTGGATTTAAGTCTCAGATTTGAATTACACATCCATGGCAGAAATAATTTATAAAATCAATGCTAGATTGGGGGTACCTGGGTGGCTCAGTCAGTTAAGTGTCTGCCTTCAGCTCAGGTCATGATTCTGGGGTCCTGGGATCGAGCCCCAAGTCAGGCTCTCTGCTCAGCGGGGAGCCTGCTTCTCCCTCTCCTCCCCGCTTCTGCTCTATCTCTGTCACTCTCTCTCAAATAAATAAGTGAAATCTTTAAAAAAAAAAAAATCAATGCTAGATTTAATACTAGTTTATAAAAACAGGATAAACTTTATAGTTTTTATCATCTGCTCATATGTTTATGCATCCTTAAAGAGTCCTGGCCGCATTCTGAAAATAATTTAGAACCTCTGGAAAGGATCACATTCAAATTCCCCCAGTAGGGTGAAGGCTTGTACCATCTGCAAAGATCTCCAGAGAAGTTGTGCCTACACCCCCATTCATAGTCCATTCTATCACATGATTGGCTTCATTGTCTCTTAGGTTTAAAAATAACTCAAAGGTCATAAGGAATTTTGTGGAAAAAAAATTATTTTCTTTTTTTCTCCCCAAAGAAAGATGTTTACTATTCTTGTGGGTTTTTTTAAATTATACAGGAGTTGAATATCAAAATCAGAAAATATAGATGAGAAAATATGGTAAGCATTCAGAAGAGAACTCCTCCTAAAACCATCCATGTGACACCATAGTGCCCTTTTAAAAAGAAAAAAAAAATGGAATGCAATCATGCTGGGCATGTTATTTTTTTCTTCTTTTCTTTAACAGTCATGACTGTCTATCCATGTCGACATACCTCCAACATCAGTTTAAATGATAGAAGAAGATTGAGGGAATCATAATTAATATGCTAGGATCAGTGTGTTGTATTTCAATACTTAAGAAAGTACTGTTTCTTTAAATGTGGTTCAAACACTACTTGCTGAAGAACCACCTACAGTCCCCATAATGGAGACTTGGGGACCCATCTGGACCTATAAAATCAGGACCTCTAGGTGGGGGACCCAGAAATTTGCATTTGTCAATAAGCTCCCAGATGATGTTTATCTCACCAGGTCTGAGAATCTCTTGTTTCTTTTAAAGAGAAGAACTGTTTTTCCCAACACACCAGAATATTTCTGTTTTCTTGAACTTTTCTGCTCTCTGATTTTTATTTTAGGTGACAACAATGGATGGTCTTTGCAATTTGACAAGTATTTCACCAATTACTACAGAATGACCTCCCCATATCACTTTGAGACGCAAACATCTGAATGCTGTAAGTAATCAGAAGGATTGAGTCTCCATTTCCCTGAGTTCATAAAAAGAAACCATGTTTTTAAAAGTTGGATCCAACACATTTTTTTTAAATGGTAAACTATAGTTTTCTAACAGCAAACTCTATTAGACATGCAGCCTTAATTTGGGGATTTTATTTAAAAGTGACTCAGGGATCTTAAGTATAAAAGCAATATATCATGCCAGATATTGTGAACAAAATTAATGTCCATCAGTCAGGGTTGCTATCTTATGTCCCGTTTCCACAATCATTATAGACTCTGATACAAAAGCAATTGTAGAAGCAGAAGAACAGAGAAGCTGTTCGCATTTTAATATTTGCAAGTGAAAAGCTTCTGGGGTCTGAACTACTTTAGAAATGCAATAAAGCCTCGTTAATTATAACCTGCTATGCTTAGTCACATGCTGAAAACTTCCAAAAACACGGGAGGGGCTGTGGGAGGGTATAACCTCAGGACTGACTGTGATATTTTAGAACAGGAAGATCTCATAAACAACTCCTTTTAAAGAAATTTTGTTTATTCTAATTATGCAAATGTAAATTTGTGCCTTGGAGTTAAAATTTGGTCCTTGGTTAGATAGTGGGGGGGAGGGGGACCCTTTACTATAATTTTTCCTTTATGTTCTATCACAAATTGTGAAGTCCAGCTTTTTTAAAAAGGTTTAATATTTTTTTTGTCTTCAGTATTCAAATGAGATTAATAAAAAGCTACTAACAGTTCCCAATTTAAGGGAACATACATCCATCCTGTAAACCCACAGGCTACTCAGCAATCTGTCTCAGCCTCACATTTTCTCACAGAGATCAAATTATTTGATCCCTAAAACCTTTTGGGAAAGAAAAAAGGTAGCAGGTATAATTTACCTGCTAATATAATGCAAAAAAATTAATGGATTATGCCATGTTATCTCAAAACATAGTTTTTATTTTTTTTTGTTTTATTGGATAGCCTTTTCTTTTCATTTCTTAAATTTTAATTGAATCTTTTTATATCTTCTTATTCCCAACTGGATTTTAGGCAGTTTACAATAAAAATCTGGATACTAACAGACTTAAGCCATTAATATAACATATAAGACATAAAAATCAACAGTGAATGGGGGAAAGGAATGGGAAGAAAAATTATATAAGGAAATCCTCACTGAGAAAAGTTCAATACCTGTGTCCAAAGCTTAGTTCTGAATTTGGTAGTCATCAGGCTAAAGAAGGAAGATAATGGGTTACATAACTTTTATAGCCTGGCTTGTAAAGCAAAAACAAACAAATGGGGGGCGAAAAACAGATCAAGTCAGCAAGAGAGGTAACTTTTGCCTAATCCTGAACTCTGGGAGAAATGTGTCCTAAGTATAACTAATGGGAAGAATGGAGCTATACAGTAAATGACATATCAAAAAAAAAAAAAAAATTATCAGTTTTTGGTAAAGAACAAATATATAATATTCAGTTAGAGTTCTTTAAAGACAGTTCAGGAAGGGGTGGTAATAAATAATTAAATGTCCTTTTCAAGCATAAAAGCAGTATAAAACAGAATGAAAAGTGTAGGGTAAAATTTGGGGGTGAAACTTAAAGTTCCTATTTTACCACTTTATTTAAATCAGATTATTATATGGATTTATTGGAAATTAAACTAGAATGGCTTATAATAATTTTTGACTGGGTGAAGGAAGTGAGGAATTCACATTTATAAAGTCACCTCTCAGGAACAATATCGTGGACATTATATTATTCATTAACATAGTATTAGAGTTCAAATTTGAGGGATATGGAAAGTACAAAGATTTAGAAAGAATTGTTTGCTTGCTCAACCATAATTTCACCACTCGGAGGCTACCAGCATTAACCTGCTGGCATATTATTCATCTTTTTTATTTTAACATTGTTGAAATTTCCTGTACAAACCATTTTTATCATATTCTCATTTAGCATTTTAGCATAATCAGGTATCCATGCTGTTACAAGCTCTTTTTGAATATATTATATAATATATTTTAAGTGTCATAATGTGCTTAATCATTCTTTTGATGTTGGATATTTCGGTGTTATTTTTTTTCATTTTTCCCTATTACAGGTAACCCTGTAATCAACATATATGAATTATCTTAACTCCGTCAATATAAACAGAAAAAACATGCTGGAAGTAATGCTAATTTCACTCCCTCCATTTTTACCCTTCCTAGTCTCACTCTCAAAACCTCCATCCTCTTTCCCAACCCACATTCTTCCCACCACACAACACTCATGTTGGATGTGGCTTATAACTTGGAGACAAAATCAGTTTTCAGCTTCAGAGATCCACAGCCAAAATGGTTACTTACAACCATAAAACTGTTTAAAAGTTCTTGGCAGAGACTCTGTTTACAGAAAACACAAAACCTAAGTTATGATTTTGATCTCTTATAACCCTGTAAAATAGGCGGTAGAGTTATTTGGGAGGAGAGGAAGAACACCTGTCACCCCATAGCTGAGCAAAGGGATATTTACTAGGTCAAAGTCTCCTATTTACTAGCCAACTGTGCTCATTAACAATCATCCACCAGCTTTGTCATAGAAATCTCTACTTTGCCACTAAGACACTTTTCAGCTCTCTGGAAGCTTTACTGTAAAAGATCAAAAACTGGAAGCCTACAAGCAGAAAATTCTCATAGAAAGTTTTTGTTTGTTCTGTGATGTTTTAAAATATTTTGAGTTGGCTATCCTCATTTTTTAAATAGGTAATTATCTATACAATATTGTATTTTTGGCTTCTTTGAGAAAGTTGTTGACTAGGCTACACATATTCCTGTCCTAACATGACAACAGTTGAAGCTGGTCCACTGGGACATCTGGACAAGGCCTACACCCATTTCACCAGTCCCCTGCAGACATGAGTCTGTAACCTCTGCTGGACGGGTTAGGGTTTCAAAGTAAATGTAGAGGGGAAGCACTCCTTGTGGTTCTCGTTAATCAACCATTCCCCCACAAAGGCAGGCATCAGACTCTATTATACTGAATAACAATCCTCTTCTACTATTGAGCTAGATGAACACATCATTGCAAGTCTCTAGTAGACTTTAGAACTATGGGATCACATCTTTAAGACTATGACTGCAGTCCCACAAGATGGCCAAAGTCATACATCCAGTTCTCCCTCTTCCTGACACTAGCAGGGAGAATAGAATGGCTGGCTATGCATAAAAAAAGTTCATTCCCATAAATGACATTTTAGACATCCCTACATCCCTACATAAGCCAAAAGAAGATCATTTAAAAATAATCCTTCAGAGAACTCCTGAATTTTCCAGAAGAAAAAAAAAAAAGAATTCTACCAACACCATAAGTTCGTGTTTAGTTCTCCTTCTCACTAGTTAGAAATGACTTAGTCTTCCACTAAGGGTTTGATTATGCCATTAATAAATACTTTATTCTTAAGTAGCAGCTTTAATATGGACATTAAAGCCCATCACACACTATCATGTCACCCCTGGACATAACCACTCTCCTCGGGTGAGTAAAAGCAGATGACTTCATTCATTTTGCAATAAACAGAGAAGAGCAGTCAGCTATTTACAGAAATGCATGGGCTGGTAAATGTGTCTGTTTTCTTATCTTAATGTTGTAGCATCATTTTAACATTAAATTAAAAACAAACTTTGTAACCTTAATTTAAAGCATTGCCCATATTGCTTAGGTAAAACATACTTTTGTACTAAATAATTTTCTCATAGCTTTTCATTTCTTTCTTTTCATCACCCTCCTCTTCCTGGTCCCTCACTACCCCCATTCCTTACAACTTCCTCCTTATTCAGTGGTCGGTTCTGTGCCCATGCAATGTCTTTGCCGAGGTTTAGAGGTTGACTGTGATGAGACCAATTTACGAGCTGTTCCGTCAGTTTCTTCAAATGTGACTGTAATGTAAGTAGAAAAGAATGGCTTCATCCTGACAGCCAGAATAGCACCTGTAAAATTGTATCATAATTAAGGCCTTGTCATTATTAATGCATTTTTATTCAAAGATGATGTCATTGCTCTCGGTCAATTATAATGATTGCTGCTATTTATTTTACATTCATTAAATGTTAGGCCCCACTCTAAATTATTCTGCCTATTAATTTATTTAGTCCCTCATAATAAACCTATGGAGTATTTAGATATAGTAACTTATTTAGACCTTCATAATAATCCTATTTAGTATTTAGTATCATATTTTATCTAAACAAAAGATGTCATCATTTATGTGCTACTAAAGAGAAAAGGCTGCCAGTTAAACCATTATATAGAGTTTTCTTAATACAAGAACTGACATTTATTGAAAGAGCTCTTTTAGAACTTTGTTGGAAACACTCTTACCTATGAATAAAAAAAAAGAAAACAAGTGAAATAAATTGGATAACATATTCATTTTTATGAATTCATATTTAAAAACTAACTCTTCTGAATCACATTTGGCTCAGAGATGTTGATATTGTTTTCCCCCCCACCCCGAGTAACTCAAACTTATGTATGTAGAAGAAAATGATCCTCATAATAAGCGGTTTGTTGATCCAGTACTAATTTGAATTCAGCAAACTTTAGCAACACAGTCACACACATTTGTCTGAAACATTTTAAAAGAAATAAGGGGAGGGTAGATACTTTAATCCAATGTTTTTGCTGAGTTTTTTGTTTCATCCAGATGTTTTAGTACCGTATGGCTCTGACTTTTGAGTATAAGAAGACAAAATAGGAGTAAATCTTAAGTTTACAAATAAGTCCTACCTTTGCCAACCCAAACCACATAACACAGCAACTCATATGCTTGAACTATAAGAGGCAGAGAGAGCTAGAGTTCAGAGTTCCTGTAGACAGTGGTGGCATTAAATTAACAAAATCTGGGTGGGTTTCCTCAACTGACGGTGACCTAAAGAACTTATCCAAATTGGCAATGAGCTAAGAACATCAAGCAGGTTAAACCACAAAGACTTGTTTTCCAAAGGAAACAAGTGACAGTCCCACCCGGACTAAGGCTAGCATTCTATCCTATCCTCAAGTCACCAGAGCTCTTTTCCATAGTAATTAGTCTTACTAGAAAACAATAATAATATTTTACTAGAATAAAATAATAATCTGAGGTTCTGTGGAGAGTTTCCATGATTTAAATCATGACTGGACCTGCTCAGTATAAAACTTGAGATGATTTCATTCTATTTTCAAAGAGAAACATTTATCACCCCCACTGTTTGTATCAAATTATCAGAAAATGAGTCAAAGAATACCCCGATGCTGCCAGTCTCATTTTTCACTTTCCTGAAAGTAAGAATTGAATCCGTTCTTCTACAACTTAGCGAAACTTTGCCTAAGAAAAGAAGAAAGGGACAGAACTGGAGGGATGGAAGAAGATAGGCAATACTAACCAGAGAGTGCATGCCCCTAAAGAATACCCAAAGGCATTTGGATTCAAGTTAAAGTAAAAAACTGTTCTGGCTCAGTACATTCATACATACATTCATACAGCCATTGTACAACCATTCGTACATATATTCATAAAGAAGTGTGTGCACTCCTGTGAGCCACCAGTTTTCAAGCCTTGGTATAGAAACTGGGATGGGACAGCTCCTCGTGAAGATGAGCTACAGGGAAGCAAGGGAGAAGGAAGGGTCCAAGATGACTTCAGAGTTTCCATCCTGAGTAATAGAGTGGTGGGAGAATGCGGAGACTGGGTGACAGTTAAGTGGGAAAGATTAGGACTCCAATTCTAGATGCCTTTTTCAACTTGAAGTTAACAGGTCAGTCAGTAGAAATTCTCAACAGGAATTTGGAGATGGAGAAATAAAGCTCAGGAGTTTGTGTCTGTAACACTTTATCTTTTGTTAAAAAATAGCAATTTCCATTATTAAAAAAAAATAGCAATTTCTTGTGCTTTGGGTTGAGCAGCATGATTCAGGTTGTCCATTTCTACTTTCCTCTGCAGAACTCTGACTCAACATCATACCTCGCCCCAGTCTTCATTCAATTCCATAAAGAAAAGGAACTGTGGGCTTTACAGCAAATACGTTAGAAGAATAAATATCAAATTTTATTACTGAGCTCGTTCCGTATCTTGAATTGGAACTCTCATAGGGAAATATCGGAAATGGACTAAATCATATATAAGTATCAAAGAAACCAATAATCCAAGTAATATGTATTGAAGTTGGGATTTTTAAGACAATTCATAAACGCAATTGAACATAAAAGACAAACAAATATATGATTATTTATGCATTGTTCTGGCTTCCTAAATGGTAGTTTTGACTGTGTGAAGGCTGACTATAAGATCCTAGAATTCAATCACTAAACTACATAATCTGATTGTAAGAACTTTATCAAAACTATGGCTAGCTTTGACAATAATAATTAAACTAGGTAGTTTCTCTCTTTCGCATACACACACCACTTTGTAAAGAGTCAGACTTGGAATATTACACTTTAAAACACAAGAATTTATCATATTAAAAAGTTTTTTGGCTTGTCCTATTCATTGAGAATAATACCACCTACCTTTTTCCATTTCAACAGGGTATTATGAAAATATGGAGAATGCTATTTGTTAAAATATTTGACATCATTTAGAAAGAAGTAGCCTAAAAATCCTAGGCACTATCAATAAAAAAACCAACTTTCTAAGAAACATTACTTAAGGAATCCTTAAATTTGCTTTCCTTCCCTCCAGAGTAACTTTCCCACTCACGTGCAGTTAGGCTCTTCCTCTTGGATTCTCTCGTTAGAATCTCACTTGTGACTCTTTGAAGCACATCAAACATTCTTCCTTGCGCTGTAGTGATTGGGGTCCTAATCTTCTCTACCAGAAAAAGGGAAGTGCCATAAGCTCAATGGGGACCTACAATTTGGCTTTTCTATGTATCCTCCAAAGTTCCTAATGGAGTATAATAAGCTCTAAACACTGTTTTTTAATTGAAGTCACAAGAAAATAAATAAAATAAAAATAAAACAAGATGATGGCCTTTTTAGCCCTGGGCTATAAAACTGAAGTCATAGTCCAAAGAAAACTCTCTATTTATAGACAAAATATGTTCTTTGTCACCCAAATAGAGTATAAGCTTCTTAAGAGCAGTGACATTATCCTTTTCTTCCAAAGTGCAAATGGAATTCAACATATGTTGAGAAAATGAATGAATGTATGAATGAATGAACACATTTTTGAAAACACACTAAGCTTTAATCCATATTTTTAAATCAAACTCAAATATTCAACTGTTCATTTTTATACAACACAAACATGTAATACAGGATGTAAGCAGAATTGAAGATCCAAGCCAAGGAAGAATGATTAGTAGAACAGGAATTCTCAATTAGCTAACATAAGGAATGAAAGAACATTTAGTGATAGCCTGGCAGCTAAGAAAGATTTCAAGAGAGAGTTCGTAGTTAATCAGCCTTTGGCATTCATTCATTAAAAACCACTAAATGACTGCTATGTATAGTCCAGAACAGTGTTTCTTAAATTTTTTTCTTTTCATTACTGCCCCCCAAGCCCTTTTAGACATTTTTTTCTATTTGTCCCCTCCTGTGAAATTCTAATAGAACACAGATACTGTATCTCTGTTTATGTATACCTGTTCTTCATCCATTTAAAAAGGTAAGATGTTTTTTCCCTCCTTAAGAACCAGTTTTCACACCGTGGAGCAATAACATACCTGTTGAGGATACATGGTCTCCTAGACTCTAGAATAGCATTTCTCAAATTAGATTCCAAAACTGTGTCCTGAGGAGTCTGAGAAACTATTTTGCCTTAAGAAGTCTTCATTATCAAGTTTAAGCAACACTGGTCCAAACCAACATAACAACTAACACTGGTAGTGCCTACTGTATGATGTTGTCATAACCTGAGTCCTTTTTGCCTATCAAGCATCTCCAAATGTATATCCCACAGCGGACAACCTGCACACAATGCAGTCTATTGTTCACTTAACAAGGAGCATCTGCTCCATCGTATTATATAAAGACAGTAACAATTGCATTATATTATTACAGGTCATCTAGTACAAATAGATGCTTTCACAGTTAAAGAGACTGACAAGGAAAGATTATGTATGGTTCATGCAAGAGACTCCAGCTGCAATGGTTTGGGTGTTGTTCTGTTTGGTTTGGTTTTTTGCTTCTTTAATTTTTTTTTCCTACTACCTTACATTGCTTTTCTTTAAAAAATTAAAGGTTTAAATCCTTCCCAGTAGAACCACAATTATGTGGACCTGGTTTGCGGCAAGCTACATATCAAATTGTGATTCAAGTGAATCTATACAATTTACTAGAAATTGAAATGAAATCACTTATTGAATAAAGACGGCTCAGTTGTACTTACCAATTGACAGTTGCCTTCATAAAGAATTTTAAAAGGAAGTAAAGGTAGTGGGATGTGAGCAATGAAATATTGAAGAATATAAAATTACCTAAGTTCTTGAATGTGCTTTAAACAGAACACACTATTTTTATTGCCACTTCAAAAATGAGATGCTTTCTAGTGCCTGTTAAATAAAAAGAGGAAAGGAAAATGTAACTGACAACTGTTTTCCCAGTTTCATTACTTTTGTGTTTTGTTAGAATGACAATGTTGTAACCTAAATTTAAGAAAAGATAAATATCTGTAATAATACAAAACTAACAGACCTAGTTCAAATGGTACTATGGATATGAGAGTAACATCATGAAATAAAATGTTTCCTGAGAGCTGATGCTAAAGTAAATAAAGCTTATAATTATTTATACTGTTGTAGTATAAAAGTAAAGAAAAAAACACTTTAAGAACCACAACTTACATTTATTTCAGGTCACTTCAGTGGAACTTAATAAGAAAGCTTCCTCCTGATGGCTTCAAGAAGTACCATAATCTTCAGAAGCTGTAAGAAAAAAATTAATTCCCAGTGTTAAAATTAACTCACATTGTTTTGGCCTATCTATCTCTTCCCACTTCTGCACAGACCAACACTACACCATTAAGTCTAATGCCTCCTCAGGAAATTATTTAGCTGTTAGCTAGAGACTACCAGGCAACTTTTTTTTGAGGAGTTCTGGAAGCCATTCTAGAAAAATTACAGATACTTATTTCCAAAAAAACTGGAGCACGTGAGTTTTGAGTTGTCCTGCCACACACTGGCCTGTGAAGAATTTTCTTCCACATGTTTGCAAATTCAGTCTCCAGCTAAGAGAGCAAGTCGTGGTGGTTTGAAACCCCAGAGCATGTTGTTTGGGGGACTTAATTCCATTTTCATATCTGCCGTGCAGGTTGTTTTATTTTCGCCTCAAGTAGTATCTGACATGCTGGATTCCCATCAGTTCAGCATTTTTGTGTATACTCCAAAAATCCATAATGGCCCGGGTTATGTTTACCTGCTATTTAGTCCAACTCTGTGACAAAATCATATCATACTTGAACTGTTGGGTTTAAATATCCTGTGCCTGAATCATGCTAACTAGAAAACATCCCAGAATTCCTAGTTTCATTTTCATACCTATGTCTGTTTTAGTTCTGGCTTTACACTGAAGAAACCTCACACATAGATCTATATCTATCTGTACATTCTTCTTTAAGAAAACAAATAGAAATTGAGCAAAATCAGAAGAAAAATTAATCTACTTCATCCAATGAAATGTACTCAAAACCCAGATAATCTGCAAAAAAGTATGTTTCACATTTAAAAAATAAAAATTTCAATAAAAATGACTTTCAAAACTTTATTCTGGATGTTTAACAATCAGCAGAGAAGAGCTTTTCAAAATTAGGCCTTATGTAAAAACTTCAAGAGGATGCTTCGGTATTCTATTTTATGATTTTTGGAGACTGAAGAATTTTTCTGATCTGTAGCACCACCTTATGTCCACATGTTTAAAAGGTGTTAATACTCCCAATTTAAATATCAAAATTCAGGTTTATATAACACAGTAGTTCAGTATTTTTACATAATAAACATTGAACTAATTTTTTTAAAGATTTTCGTTTTAAGTAACCTCTCTACACCCAAAGTGGGGCTCACACCCACAACCCCGAGATCAAGAGTCACGTGCTCTACCAACTGAGCCAGCCAGGCACCCCAAATTACTTCTTGAACAGCCAGTTTGTTTTAACTAGTAGATCAAAATAGCCTAATTACAAAAAAAGAAAATTCTACCTGATTATTAGAGATACAGCTTTGCTCAACCTCCATGCAATACAGTCTATTAATCACTAATCATTAAAATACTTAGAAACAAATAAATACATGCTAAAGGTTCGCTGTGTATTAGTGAGAAAGATGCATTCCCTATTATGTAATTGGAACCACAGCGTGTTCTGTGAAATTGTTAAAAGCATAATAAATTTAATAATAACATTTTTACAATCACAGTTAGGTTTTCTTGCATGTTGGAGAAATAGGGAATCCTATTTAGTCAAAATTTCTAATTAACTAAGAATTTGTTCATACTGAGGTTGCCGGGGTGGCTCAGTTGGTTAAGTGTCCAACTCTTTTTTTTTTAAGATTTTATTTATTTATTTATTTATTTGAGAGAGAGTACATGAGAGGGGGGAGGGTCAGAGACAGAAGTAGATTCTCCACTGAGCAGGGAGCCTGATGCGGGGCTTGATTCTGGGACTCCGGATTCATGACCTGAGCTGAAGGCAGATGCATAACCAACTGAGCCACTCAGGCATCCCATGTCCGACTCTTGATTTTGGCTCAAGTCATGATCTCAGGGTTGTGAGATCGAGCCCGAGTTGGGCTCTGTGCTCAGCAAGGAGTCTGCTGGAGATTCTCTCTCCCTCTCCCTCTGCCCCCCTCACCCCACGCTCGCTCTCTCTCTCTTTCTCTCTCTCAAATAAATATTTTTTAAAAAAATATGTTCATATTGGTTTCTTCCTTATTGCTCCCAATATTTATAAAAATATATATATATAAACTTCAGAACGCCCTAAAGGACAATGATGACCTGTATTCAGAACAAGAAGTCAGGCTCGAAGCCCTTACTGTGTCATTTCTTACAACCTGGGGCCAGTACACGCAGAGGTACAAAGCTTTGCAAGGGTGCATCTGATGCATTTGCTTGTGCTCCAGTACCTATTTCCTTTGACCTCCAGTTAACCCAAGGCCAATCATCCTGGATGACTAGTTAACTATTTAAGACTGCATTCTTGTCTTGACGTGCCAGTCTAATTTATATTCTTCTAATCCTGAGTCTTTTTACTTCTTTTTTTTCTTTTGCCATAAATACTCCTTATAAGCTTCCTCAAACACTTTTTGGAGCAAGGCTTGGGGTGTCAAATTAATAAAATTAGAGTTGACTTGTTGGGCAGATTTGTGATTAACATAGAATATGATCCAGGGCCTTAAAGATATCACATACTTGTACTTTTGCCAGCTCTTTGCTAAATGCCGATCTTTCTATTATAGCAGGAAATGTTAAGAAGTCTGACTTCTGGGCCTGTTTAATTATTGACTGCCTACTGTGCATTGAAGTTTTACTTATAGAAAATTCAAATATTAAATTTTAACTACTAAATGTTCATCTTTATAACTAGAATTTCTAAATAAAACTTGCTTGATCAAAGCCGAACTTAATAGCAAAACAAAATGACATGATATCTAGTTTCCTTAACTTATTGTGTTATGTTTACCTTTTTTTAATTAAAAAAATGTTTATTGGGCGCCGGGGTGGCTCAGATGGTTAAGTGTCTGCCTTCAGCTCAGGTCATGATCCCAGGGTCCTGGGATCGAGTCCCGCATCGGGCTCCCTGCTTCTCGGGAGCCTGCTTCTCCCTCTGCCTCTCTCTCTCTCTTTCTGTCTCTCATGAATAAATAAATAAAATCTTTAAAAAAAACTAAAATAAAATAAAAAAATGTTTATTGCGGTGAAATACATAGGATGTAAAATGTACCATCTTAACCAATTACAATGTACATTCAGAGCCATTAAATACATTCCTGTTTTGCTACAGGCACCAAAGAGCTCTTTACATCTTGCAAAACTGAAACTCTCTTTCATTATGATTTTTTTTTTATAATTCTCTCCACAGGTGCCTACAAAACAATAAGATTAGATCCGTACCCATCTATGCGTTCAGAGGACTCTACAGTCTTACTAAACTGTAAGTACCCGTGCCAATTAGTTTGCCCATTCCACAGTTCGTCCATTGCACACAGCCCTCCTGCCCACATCCGTGGAAGGGTCACCACAGCCCTGTACCCTTGGGGTTCCGACTCAGACAAGATCCTGCGTGAGTCCTGACTTCAACAGCCCTTATTTCTTCACATCTTCATCAATACTTCTTCTTTTCTGGGGGTTTGCTGTTTGGGTTTTTTTTTTTTTTTTTTTCCTAAAACAGCCATCCTAATGGGTATGAAGTAATATTTCATTGTAGCTAGCAAATCTTTTTAAAATCGGCTTTCTCAAAGTTCCATTTCACTGAGTTTTACTAAGCAGCTGAACCTAACCTCCTGTAAGAAGTAATGGCGTGGAAATATAACCAAAACTCACATAAATCAACAACTCCCTGTATTTCTATTTCTGCCCCCTTGCTTTCCATCTTACACCACTTTTTTTAATCCTAATCCAAGAAACTCATTCCAGTCAGATTCCTAGTTTGTGGCATGAGGGTTTGAGATTGAGGAAAAGCTATCTAATCATTTCACCAGCAAAATGGAAGAAGGGCCCTGGAGACTCAATGTCCTAAGAGTAGCCACTTTTGCCAAGTCCTCTTCCCTTCTTTCCCACCCGGCTCTTTCCTGTCTTGGCAAATCACCCAAAGTCCATATTGGATTCATTCCCACGAGACTCCTGACTATCTTTCTCTCTAATCCCCCATGAATCTGTTCAAAACTTCTGCTTGGTTTAATGTTCAATGGATGTGAAAGATAGTCCAGATTTGGTATAAAGTTCAACAGATGTGAAGAATAGTACCACAAATTTTAAAGGGTCCTCCATCTCCTTCCATGGTTACTCATAGCACTGGAGTATTGTTTGGATGGTAAAGATGTTACATACTTCCAGGTTATCAGCGATAATCATTGGATTCCTGCTTTTCATTCTTCCATAAATATTCATTAGCCCTTATAGTGTGTAAATTTTTCTGCTAGACACCATGGGGATGTGGGATAGAAAGATAAGTCAGACAGGTTGCCTTCCAGCAGCTTACACCCTAATGTTTCAGGAAAAGGGCTATGCCTCCACTAGAGAGAGGCATGCCTCTTGCACTCCAGAAGCTTGTGATCTAGGGTGGGGAAACAAAACCAGCATGCACACAACAATTAAAGAATGATGAAAAGAAATTACTTAATTGAATCCTAAACCTGTGTTGTTCAGATCAAAACTGCTATTAAGATTCACTGAAAGGGGCGTCTGGGCAGCTCAGTCAGTTAAGCGTCCGACTCTTCATTTTGGCTCAGGTCATGATCTCAGGATCGTGGGATCGAGCCTGGCATCACTGGGCTCTGCACTCAGAGCGGAGTCTGCTTGAGATTCTCTCCCTTTCCCTATGCCCCTCTCCCCGCTTGTGCATGCACATGCTCTCTCTCACTCTCTTGCTCTCTAAAATAAATAAATAAAATAAATCTAAAAAAAAAAGATTCACTGAAATGAGTGACCATTTGGGGTCTGGAGCAATGAAGGATCACTCAGGAAAATAAAGAGGACTGGGCTAAACAGATGGGTATAAGATATGGGAGTGGATCAAACGTACCTAGGGGATCACTATTGGCTTTAAAAGGAGACCCCTGAGGCACATGCACCCCAATATTTGTAGCATCACTGTCCACAACAGTCAAGATATGGAAAGAGCCCAAATGTCTATCAAACGATGCATGGATAAAGAAAATGTGTATATA